TTCTGATTTGCTGTTCGGGATTCTGCATACACCACTCTGATAAGTTGAATTGTAGAAACTAAAGATTAAAATAATCTTAAGATTAACAAAAAGAGTAGATCAACCAGGATCTCGATATCCACAATTCTAAAGTTGTCAGCTCAGACCAATTTATTTTATTAAAAACTATTTTAAAATTATGCTGCAAAATGTTCACTATAGTCCGCTAACCATTTGATACACTTCTCCTTGGCTGCTGTATAGGTCTCCTAAACAGAGATAACATATTTAAAATATAATCATAAAAGAATACTAACAATAAAAATTAATACAGTTTTAACTATCAACAATGGCATCTAATTGGATTAAAATCATATTTCATCAAACCCCTAAAATAAAATCCGCATAGGACGTCACTCTCGCCTTTATAATCAGTAACGTCATATTAGGATTCTATCTATGCTATGCTAAGGAGACGACATTTTCCGTACATTGGAGCGCATCGAGAGTAAGCAACCTCATTATACAACCTTGATTACACCCTTATAAATATGATTTACTGAATAGTGAATATAAAAGCATTATAAGCAGTGGATATTTCATTTTAAAAAGTTTAATCTGAAGTAATTTTTGTGTTTTGGATCTGGGGATCAAACATTATTTTCCGTATTTTGTGCAGTCGTGCTTCTCAGGATTTGACTAATTCCTCCTGATATTCTACCCGGCCAGAATAAATAACAATAATTTAAGGATTGACTACTTATCCTCTCTCTAAAATTTTCCAGTTGTCTGCAGTGGAAAAAGAGATAATTGGAAGTATGATGTCAAGTTGTAGAAAAAAATCCATACTGCAGAATGTTTACTGCAAGGGAGAGTTTATTTTGCTGTTTATTATAATGTATCTCTTATATTGATTACTGATATTTACATCTTTTAACATCCCAAATATATGCAGTTCACATTTATGAAGTGTAGACTAGGTAGTACAAAAAAAACTTGCCAAAGTCCACAATGACACATATCAGAAAGTATATTTTCATGCCTCTAATTGTTCTTNGAATTATGTTAAAAGATTTTCAATTTCCAAATAACATTTAATAAGCTTTTCCTATTTGAAACATGTCATTTAATAAGGTTTGTTAAACTTTGATTAACTTTTAATGCAATAATGATAATAAAAAGTGATTCTTAATATTGGCAAACAAATATGTTAGTTTTTCTTTTATAAGTTAAGTCAGGCGAAAATTCCAATTTTTCTAAAAAATTACCCTTAATTACCCTTAATTACCCTTAATTACCCTTAATTACCCTTAATTACCCTGAATGAAACTTTCGATGGAAGAAAAATAATAAAAAGTAATTCTAAAGAATGATATTATTCTGGAAAGTCCAGACGAAAAAAAAATTACATTGTACAAGTGACAAAATTAAAATCATTAACCCGGAAACCCTCTTCTTCACTTTAATAATAATTGTGAAAATAGTTATCAAACATATTTTTCATTTTATGAACATTTGTTTCTTAATAAATAAACCATTAACTATCGTTATTATAGCGTTAAATAAAACTCTAAACAAAAGAGAAAATGTGATTCTTTGTTGATACGGAGTGACCCACAAATTAGGAAACTTTTATTGAGACGCAAAACTATTAAGAGATGTGAAAGATTAAATTTGAGTTTTTAAGATTTTTCAGATTAAAAAACACACTTTACAGTTTCAAGAAAATAATAAGGTCTCACTCTTTTACCCACCTCTGCAAATTAAAAAGATTTGTGAATCACCCAATATATGTAAATTACCCAATACATGTAAATTACCCAATACATGTTAATTACCCAAGATATGTAAATTACCCAATATATGTAAATTACCCAAGATATTTGTAAATCTCTCTCTCGCTCAGCTGGGTCCAGATAGGTTGAGTAATTTTTTGGCGTGATTTGAAATTTGTCACCGGAACACTGAAATCAAATAACAAGTATTACTAATATTTAACAACAGAATAAAAAGTTGTAAAAAGAATTAAATTTACTTTGAAAAAGGTTTAAACAGCCCTAACAAAAAAATTGGAAATGGCTGTTTTAACTTCTTTTTTTTATAATGTAAAATATAAACAAAATAGAAGAATAAAAGCTTAAAAACTTAAAAATTATTATTTGCAGTGAGAAATTAAAATATTATATCCAGGGTGTCCCACAAAACAGGTCAGTTGGTGAATAGGTTTGAATGTCTTCTTCCACATACTGTATTAGATTTTTAAGACTTTTTGAAGTTTATTTCTTTAAAAAAGTTTAACTCGTATATATATTTTATTGTGAAATCAGTTTCTATAATACAACTGTCATATAAAAAATGATATTAGTCTCTTTAGTATCAAACAACTTATCAAATTATGGAAGAAGACATTTTAAACTATTCACCAACTGCCATGTTTCGTGGGACACCCTGTATATTGTTTTGTGCTTACAATAAAGATTTTTCTAGTATTTCGGGAAATTGTTCAATAAAAATGCGGGAAACTAAATCAACTATTTACTCTTATTAAATAATAAAAAGGGGAAACTATTATTTTAGAAATATTTAGCAGTTCATTTAGTCTTCATATAACATTATTTACTTTCACTGATTCATTTTCTAAGTTATGCAAGTGACTTTTGTTTTGAAAAGTGGATTATACTCTAAAACGGGAAAGGTCTGTGTCGAAAACGTGACAATGATTCAAATTCAGGATATGTTCGAAAATTAAAAACCTGACATTGTTTTTAAAACACTCAAAGGTTTTAATATAAAAAGAACTCCATTTATAATTTCGATTTTAGAAAATAGTTTTAAATTGGGAATTGTTGTCCTCGTCATGTTTAATAAAATGTTGGTTATAGTTTTTATTATCGACTTTTACTCTCGATATTGGCTGGGATCCTAAAAACCTGGTTTTTCATTTTGTGCCCACTTCTAACACTCAAGTGTTAGAAATGGGCCAAGTGCTAGTTTTGGAACTAATGTCCCCTCTGTTAGCTTTTCGTCGAAAAGATTTATAATAACAACAACAAAAGAAGTAATAAGCCCAAAATAAAGATGAATATTTTTTCTTGCCAATGATATCATGATCAATGATCATGACCTCAAATATTGTTTTTTTTTGCCTACCTAGGATGATTACAGAAATATCCAGTATTGAATAGTGAATAGGGCTGGGCAGTGGGCAACGTTAACATACCGGTAGTTTTGGATATACTACCGGATATAGCCATTAGCCGTTCTTTAACAAACAAAAAAGAAAAAAGAACAAACGGATGCGTTTCAAAATAACGGCGACTTTTGAAACTTCCAGAAAATAGAAAATATTTTTTAGCCACTTATTTGTAAAAAAATATAATTTTTGTATTTTGATGTTTTTTTTACATGTTTTGATGTTTTAAATGCAGTTGTCTTACATTTTTCCCCATTCATTTTTACATGCTATAATCGTTAACTTCTCGTTGCCAACGGGCACCTTTAACAATTTTTAAAATATCTTTATCAACGGTTAATTTTTTTTACGTTTTCAACTAATTGCATTAAACGAAAGTCTTAAAAAAAGTCCAAACGTGCCCAGCTCTACGGCTGCACACTGTATACACAGATATAATATATATAGGTAAAAATATATTTCCCATGATGTATCTACTGTCTAGGTTAAATTCTTAACTATTTAATGTTTTAAAAGTATCCAGTATCCACACTGCATGTTGTTTAAATATATACAGAAAGTTTGCTGTTGTTTTATTAGAAAGCAAGTGAGAATTAATTAGGACAAAGGATGTTAGGGTCGTATAAACACTTTCGTTTTCTCTAATTATAGAACTGCTACCATGTAAATACAAAATAAATGTATTCAAATTTGAAAAAAACTAAATTTGTAGGCTTTATTTCAAGTGAATAAAGGGGGTGTAAGCGTTATTTCAAGTGAATAAAGGGGGTGTAAGCGTTATTTCAAGTGAATAAAGGGGGTGTAGGCTTTATTTCAAGTGAATAAAGGGGGTGTAGGCGTTATTTCAAGTAATTAAAGGGGTTGTAGGCTTTATTTCCATTTATAGAAATTCCGATTCATAACAGTACCATTTAAACATGAAACTGTTAAAAGGATGACGGGCTTATACTTGTTTATCTACAGAAACGTTTGTAATTGTTGAACACTTTGCAAGATGTTTTATGCATAAGCAAATTTTATATTTACTTTCTGGAAGTACCAGAAAATAAAATTTTTGAAAACTGCGTTTTATAAACAGGAAATTCTGAATATTCGAGAAATAGAATTAGCTTTATCTATCTATTTTAGTAGTTATACGGCAATTTGAACAAAGTTTTAGAGATAAACAAACATATTTCTCTTTCCTCGTTGATCAGTCAATGGTTTAAAGATATACGGTTGTACATTGGACATACCACTCTCTGCACTTGGAATTACGCGTACAGTCCCTTTAAATACAGCTACCGTTGTCAACTGTTACAGTACAGATAAATACGCAAATGTTGATTAAATAACACTTTGTCAAAATAATTTATATACTGAGTCCGAATTTTATGAATTTAAGTCACGTCTCAAATCCCCCAAAAACCGGTTTCAATTAAGCGCCGGCATAAATATTGAAACATTAAATACAATTTTAAGTAGAACCAACCAAATTTAAGTCGAGGCTCAAATTCTTTAAATTCGGCCTCCTATTAAATTTAATAAAGGATTAGACTTCAGTAGCGACTGGACAAATTTCTAAATGTTTGAAAAATCTCTTTTATTCAAGTTTAATCCTTATAATTTCATGCAAAATCCCGAAATCAAAACAGTAATTGGGATTTATTAAAGCCCACTATGAAATTTTTAATTCAAATATTCTAAGTTTTGCAGAATTTTGCGACTTTATCAATTTGAAGACTTCTATTTGAGCTTTACTTTTATTTCGTTCATAAGCAAACTTTTTTATTTGGTCTGAAAAAAATATATTCCAGATTTATGATTATTAAGGTTTTTATGTAATATACTAGCTTGGAACCCAGCATTTGACATCAAACAATTCCTAAAAATTAAATGATTAATAGATATTTTCATTATATCATGTAATATACTAGCTTGGAACCCAAAAATGCCTCGGTTATTCTATAGTTATATTTAAAATTCGGTATTGGTGATGGACCAAACCTCTGTGGAGTAAAAAAGTAGATGTTAGTTCCACATTTATTGAAAATATATTTCGGTCTGGGTTGACCCTCGTCAGTTCTTGAGATTGTTTCTGTCACAAAGGTTACTATACTTACTCCCGTCGTTTACTCGCGCTTGATCGTAATTTACGAATTCATTTTTTCCCCGAAAACCCACTCCAATTGGAATCTCAAACAAAGCTAAGAACATTTCTCTGGTTCTCTCAAATTCCCCAATCAAAATTTGAGGCAAATCGGTCGAGGGAGTCCTGAGTTATTAATTTAGGGCTGGGCATGTTCCAACTTTTTATAGCCGTTTCAATAACGGTTAGTTCCAACCATTAAAAAACAATAGATGCTAATGTAATTGAATTCTTTTAAAAAACGAATCTATTATTTTTGGTATGATTGTATTTGACCTAAAACTCGTGTTTTTTTTTCTCTAAAAAGATCATAAAATGTATAAATAAAAAAACTATATTTTTTTTTAAATGAACACAAAAAGTTACTGTTACAGTAAATTTCCATTTTACTGAATTATTCCCTTGTTTTTTCTTTTATCATCTCACACTGCAGTTGGAAATATAAGATTGAACTTCTTTAAAATGATAATAATTGACATTGAATCATGTAATAACTTGTTTATAAAAATTTCCTAGAAAAGTGATCCCATCCCATCAAACAATCAGGAAAGAATAAGAGTTTAAAAAAGAAAATTAAAACCAAGGAGAAAAAAAGATATATCATAACTCAGAAACCCCATGACTTGCAAAGAGAAAAATACATGGCTAAAATCGTAAATTAAGACCAAGCGCGGGTAAACGGCGTGAATAGCTATAAGTAACCTGGGCACAGCCTGGTTCCCACGCTAGTAAGAAGATCAAAAAGATGTCCAAACGATCGTTTAAAGGGATCGTTTTTGGTTCTGTACCTTGACAAATTTCTTGGACATTCTTCTGTTGCCCATCAAACCTGAAAAATATTATGTCTTAGAGGATCGATTCTCTACAATGTTATCTATTAAAAGGACAGTTAACGTAACTTCAATTAACCCTTTGTATAAAGAGTAGAATGTCTGATTCACAATAATACCCTTAAGTTTTGTCAAGAATGACTAAACCATCCAACTTTCTCTTTTTTAAATTTGATCACTTTCAGATGTGAATAAACATGGATATTGGATTTATGCAGTTAATGTTGTCAGATATACACCAGATATACACCAGATATACGCCAGATATACACCAGATATACACCAGATATACACCAGATATACACCAGATATACACACCTTTTAAACTAGAAAAACAAAAATATCTTCTAGAAGGTTGTGAATCAGGTTGGTCTTTTTCAAATCAACGACTTTTCGATTCATTTTAATTCATCAATTTAATTCAATTTAATTCATTTTAAATCATCAGTTTAATTCAAATTAATTCATTTTAATTCATCAATTTAATTCAATTTGATTCACTTTAATTCATCAATTTAATTCAACTTAATTTATTTTAATTCACCAATTTAATTTAACTAAATTTATTTTAATTCATCAATTTAATTTAACTTAATTCATTTTAATTCATCAATTTAATTCAATTTAATTCATTTTAATTCGTCAATTTGATTCATTGATTCATTTTAATTCATCAATGGATAAAACAAATTCTTGATTATTTAATTCTTTATGAAATTATGAAATTCAGTTCAGTCTATGTTCTTAAAAAGTATCCTGATAGTGTTCGAAGCCAATGTTAGGTAGATACAGAGTATCCCAATAAACATGGGAATTTAGAGACGACTTTGACTTCCGATAATTGATAAAAGACATAAAGTGCATCAAAAAAATATTGAACGTCTAATGAGATTTAAAATAATGGTCTACCTTCTTTGTATAGTAAAAATTGACGGAGATATTAAATATTTGAACAGTTTTGTTGATTTTTAAAGGGACTGTATACTGGTCACGTGAATTCCGTATGTATCACGTGACAACAATACTGCACTGCCATTGGCTAAAGTTCTGGTGACGTAATTCGGACTGTACGAACTATATGTAATTATATTGTCAATTATTTCTATTAAAAAAGCAAAATAAAAGTTAAAAAACGATAATAGGGGCAAACCTGAGATTCTCAGGTTCCTGTGGGATATCGTTGTTTTCAGATTGGTTGCGTATTTGTTGAATATGATCTGTTTAATACTACAATTTTTATACAAAATTGCATATATACAAATTTTCGTATTAATTTGACACAGTTTTATATCAATTTCTTGAGACAGGAACATCAGAGAGATGTTTTATATTTATCTTTCAACATATAATTGATTGATTGATTATTACCTAGACTGCTGTTCTGCATGAAGGTGCTCTGTCTCCGAGATGCTGTTGGGGAGGTGTTTCTAAAATCAATTATTTCATTTTTCATTCTTCATTATGGTAATACGGAGATTTTTTTCAATTAATAAAAAGTAATCTAATTTTTTAATTTTTATTATTTTTGATATTATTTAACAAATATTTTTTACATGGTATCTTTTTGGTCTTAATAATTTCTAAGTGGCTCATCTTTGACCATAGAGAATAGAATATAGGGGAATTTAAAGAATCTCTCGGTATGAATTTTTTCAGTCTCTTTCAGCCTGAAAGAGAGTTCAAAGTGTACAAATCATGTAAATGTTCACAAATTATGTGCAGTAAAGTACATTAATACAGTACGTTCCCTAGACTATTTATTTCAATTTCGAAATTTTTAAAGCAGTTAAATAAACTTTTTCATGAATTAGGTGAATAAAAAACATCATTTGATTTATAGTTATAACGGAACATCATCGTTTGTAAAGTGAAAGGCATGGAGTCTAATGAAATGACCATGATCATGAAATGACCAGCCTATTTCATAATTTGGTTTTCTTTTAACAATAATTTTAGATTTTCTATAAAATGAAATTCCAGGTCCCAAAAGGTTATATAGCATAAATATGTGAAGTACACCTGCAGTATGGAAACAGTACAACAAAATGGCCGTTTTACACTTTTTTCTAGTAAATTTCCCTCTAATATATATTCTATTCTCTTTGTCTTTGACATTTTGGTATTTTTTAATCTGTTCAAAAATCTGCAAATGTTTATTCAAACAGTTTATTTACTTAAAAGGACTGTTAACATAGTTTTAAGTTGATCCGTCCATGCAAATCAATGCAATTGTCGATTCACAAGGGTACTTTTAAACTAATATATCGGCTATGTAAAATACTTGAGCTGAAAGCGCAGTATTTTAGAGAAAAGGATTCATTTGATACCAATGAGACATTTTTAAGATGTACAATTTTAGAAAAGAGCGTAAAGTCGTTTGTAATATTTCACCAGCATGGTTCAGAAACGTTTTTTACAATTATTTAATAATCTAGACAAAACATAGCTTGATAAGGTTAAAATGCAAGGAAAGTTAATTGCAGTTGCGTATACTCTGCGTATATATTGAAACCAGTTCTCTCTTGGCGGAATTTTTAAACAAGGATAGATGCATCAGTGTTCGTTTAGTATCCGAGGAGGTTAAAAGCATTCAATTTTTGATAATTTTGATAATTCACAAATAGGTTCGTATGACCAGAATATTTCATTGATTTTTTATGTGAAAGATGAATCCCATGTCAGGCTTCGACATCCGTCTTGTGTTTACATTATCGCCCGGAGACAGTACACTGCAGAACAAAAGATGCGTGCACCTCTGAAATAACTGTCCTTGCATTATAACCTTGGCTATTGCTTGCTTTGTATGGAGATGCACTTGAAATTATGTTGACAGTCCGTTTAACAAATCCAGAAAAAAATCCAGAAAAGACCGGAGATAACAGATATTTAAAGATTCACAAGATTAACATGACACCCAGTATTATGAGTACTGTTAGTACTATTAGTACGATTATTGATATGATAAATATTGTATAATTCTGATTGTTACCACCTTAAATATTATTGTGTTTTTAATCAATATTTATAGGAATAACTTAAATGAAGATTTGAAAAGATATGTTCTTTTATAGATCCTCAAATTTAAAGTGCCTGCAGTGGATATCAAGATCAACAAATCGGATTAATAAGTATCCAGTTATAAAGTTCCCAGAGGCCGAATTAGAAAAATTTAAACTGCGTCGCTGAACCGCCAAAACCAGTTACACAATTAAGCGCCGGATCTCGAAACACTGAATACAATTTAAACTGAAACCATCCATGTTTGAGCCGCGTCTGAAATTTGAGACACGGCTAAAATTCTTTAAATTAGGCCTCAGTTCTGACAGTTTTTATTATATACCTGCTAGGAGAGCTGGAGAGTGGATGAGAGGGTTTGGAAAAAGGATTTATATTCGGTTGACAAACTGCTGGAAAATATAGGAGTAAGATCGTATATTCGGTTGACAAACTGCTGGAAAATATAGGAGTAAGATCGTATATTCGGTTGACAAACTGCTGGAAAATATATGAGTAAGATCGTAAACGATGTTTAGTACTTTTGCAAAGGTATTTTCCCAAGTAACAACTTCCCAATTGTGCAATTTCCCCCATCGGCAACTTCCCAAGTCTGTTCTAGCCGCAGCGCTCGACCCCTAACCCATTCTAGCCGCAGCGTTCGGCCCCTAGACTAATCTAGCCGCGGTGCTCGGACCCCATTGCAGTCTGCGGCGCCTCAGAACGCCTAGCCTAACCTTAGGGAAATTGCCTATTGGGGAAGTTGCCACTTGGAAAATTGTAACTTGCACTTTGCGAAGTATTCCTAAAGAAAAATGCCCTTGGTAAAATACCTAACCGAAGTCAGCAATTCTCGGGATCAATCATTGACCTCCATCTTATGCATATCTAAGGAATAATTCAATGCCTCTTCGATATTTTATGATAGTCATATCCTGCCTCCAGGGCTAACTTGAATTGAGAGATCAAGTGTTCAAGATTAACATATTTCCGAGTCTGGGAAGAAATCATCATCATTGGAGTACTTTTGGAGACCCACTGTCATTGGAGACCTCAAGGACGTCACGTTGGAGACCCCCAAATTCTTGTTGGAGACCCCATATTTTCATTGGGGACCCACAGATTTTCATTAGAGACCCTCAGATTTTCATTGGAAACCCCATATGTTCGTTGAAAATCTGGGGGTCTCCGATGTAAATCTGAGGGTCTACAATGAAAATATGGGGGTCTACAACGAGAATCTGGGGGTCTCCAACGAGACGTCCATGGGGGTCTCCAATGAAAGGGGGTCTCCAATAGTACTCCAATGATGATGGTTTCTTACCAGAAAGTTCCGATATTTAGAATACGTTGCTTGCTACCAACCAGCTTTCTGATGAGAAGGCCTAATTAATAATTAAACAGAGAGAGAAATTATCTCGTTCTTCTCTCCCTCTTTCAAAAAACGGAATTTACCTCTTTAAAGTTTAAAAGAAAAGATCTTAATTTGCAGAATCTAAAGAATTTTAACAAGAAAAAATGTATGGAATGATGCTAAACACTCCTAGGAAAAACAGCTGGAGAAAAAAGAAACAAATTCTGTCTAATTAGTGAAACATAACAATAACATGTCTGACATCAAACTTGATATTTGAGTAAAATGTAACTCAAATCAAGTAGGAGTCCTAAAGTCTTAACAGTAAAGATAGCGAAGCAGATTATTTTACGCAAATCATACGCATTTTTTGGTCTATAAATAAGAACTGGAACAATGTAGTTAATTAGCAACGTCTTTAATTGAAATTGACATCGTCTAAGATTTCATTTACCTTTCTGACTTTCAGAATTGGAAGACGACCTTTGACTAGTCTCTGATTCTGATTGATGGTCGGCTGAATCTTCATTTTGTGAACCAGCTTTAATATTTTTCGCATCAGATTTCATTTCCTAAAAGGAAAAAAAAATAATTGCCTCCTGTTCCAATTTTGTAATCCTCTTGCATATTTGCTAACTGATGTTTAAAACTTTTAATATTTCAAACTTTGAACTGAGCTATATAAAAAATAAAAGCTATATAAAAAGAATAAGGAATAATGATAATCAACACAGAATTCCGGCGTTGAGGATGTTTCAAAAGATTGACACCCATAGTCCAGTTAAACCCTAAATAAACCATACATCGAGAGAATTTATCAAATGTCGTATTGACAATTTTTCAATGGGTTTTATACTATTTTACATAAATCTCATTGCGAAAATAAATAAATAGCCATGAACAGTGTTAAAGAGCTCCATATAATCATATAATGAAAAAACTAAATATCTGCATTATTCTATTATCAGAAAGTAAAGAATACGACATTTGATGAATTCTTTCGATGTATGGCTTATTTAGGGTTTAACTGTATTTCAGAAAGCTATGACCTAACATTTGAAAGAAAAAATGAATCAATTCAGCCATGCTTTATAAACGTTCCGAGGCAGTGTTTTTTTGTTAATAATAAATACATAAAATCATAAAAACTTGGACACTTTTATTGATACATACATCTACATCTTTCCAGGGATATTTTTAAAGCTCGACTTATCTTTTATACATTTTTGGGTGGATATTTCTTTCAGATCTTTGTAGGGACATTTTTTAAAAAAACATTCTGGGGATTTTTTACAGGAACATTTCTTTTAGTGACATTTTTTAAAATAACGAACACATAATGACATTAAAATATGATAAATTTAAAATTTATTGGGTTGCTGATGCTGAAAAACGTCTAATATACTATTTCTGACAAAGGTTTCATACCTTTGCGCTCAAATTCTGAACGAAAAATCGACTTTTTCTCCGGCCACAGTTGTCTTTGAAAAGTAAGACTAACACCAATCAACAGCGAATAGGCTGAAATTACCCAAATAAGTGAACAGTCCCTTTAATATAAGGTTCCTTGTTTCTTTGCTACAACTTTTAGGGAGAAGAAAATGAAGTGAAAATGTTAAAAAGTGTTGATAACCCATGATAAAAAACTAGACAATGAAGTAAGTTCAACAATATATTTTACCTTGAGAACTTTTCTGTAATTTTCTGACCAATCGTAGAAGAAGATTTGAGAACTAGTTTTACCTAATTATAATTATATCTTTCTTACAATACATTTATAATAATAGAAGATTTGAGAACTAGTTTTACCTAATTATAATTATATCTTTCTTACAATACATTTATAAAAATAGAATATTTGAGAACTAGTTTTACCAAATTATAAATACGAAGATGGTTAAATTCTCTAAGAAAAAATAATATTTAAAACCTTCTTTCTGCGTAAAACTTCTTATTAGAATAATTTTTAAACATTTTTACTCCGATATTGACATTGAGATATGAAAAAAGTTGAAAATGTCGTAATCTTAGATATTTCAAACTATGAATTTTGATAGATAAAATAGTCTAAATTTGAAATATCAGAGGTTTACACAATCAGGTTGCAAAGTTTTAGGAGTTTAAACATTTGAGTTTGTGGCAAAGACTCAATTCCTTTAAAGAAGAAAAAATCATTTTACCACGGAACTTTGTATGTAAAATTCTCTTTTAAATTCAAAACAAGGTTTGCAGAGAACTTGCATGTTAGCAAAAAATGTTTTGTCATAATTTGTCACCCAAAAGAATTTCAAATTTGTAAAACAAAATCTATTTCGATACCTTGGCCTGCAGTAACTGATGTTAAAGCTGTGTCCAATCTGCTTTCTAAGCGTGTTGAAAAAACTTTATCGTTAACTGTAAATTTATAAAGGAATTGAGTCTTCGAAACAAAATCAAATATTTAAACTTCAATATCTTTAGAACCCGATGTTGTAAACCTTTGATATTTCAAATTTAGATTATTTAATCTAACAGAATTCATAGTTTGAAATATCTAAGGTCTACAACATTTGGTTCCAAAGTTATAGTGATTAGAAAATCGGAGTTTGTGGCAAAGACTCAATTCCTTTAATCAACAACATGTTGCAGAAATATTATACTCTGTCAAATAAATGAATAAATTCTATTTGTTCTTTGTATTTGAATTGTAAATTAAAAAATTTAAAGTTAATTTTGAATATTACGCCTAAAATTATTTTACACAAAGCATTGAGACATTTATGTTTTTTAAATGTGATTTATTAATCAAATTGCAAAAGTTTTCTTTTACTTCATTTTCTCTGGTCAAAGATATCAAACAAACGATTTTTCAAAACGAAAAACGAAATTTTTGGTCAGAAACAAAATTAATATAATGTAGTAAAAGCAAACTTGTCTGGCATGAAATTCGAATTTCAGATTCTTGTGGAACCTCTGAAATGTATATAAACTTAGTTAAAGTGAAATTAACTTATTTTGCTTTTTAAAGTATTTTTTCTGTTTCCTCGTCTTTCCAGTTCAGCTGCCTGCATTCCCTTCTGTCTGGATGAAAACATAAATATCTTGTTTATTAGAACACAGTGGTCTCCAAAATAAACTGCTAAGAGGAAATAACCAAGTTTAAACTAAATCACTATTAAAAAGAGGTGAAATGAACATTTCCTATTATTTTAGCTCTCTAGAAAATTAATTAAAAAATTAATATTATTGAATGCAAGCGATGCATTAAGGTAAATATTGAGAAAAACAACTTAGAACCATAAAAATTTTATGAAATTCTTTCATCCTAATTTTATTATTTTATTGTAAATCCAATTGATTAACTGATTACGTAGATGAATTTGCTTTAAAAAGTACAAAGATAACATAAATAAACTATAATGTACAAGATATATGATTACCTAATTGATTTTCTTCTACGTATTTCCTGAAGATATGGTTTTAAAGAAATTATTACTAATATCTTTGTTTGTAAACGTCAGAACAATCATAGGTAAATAAGATAACATTCACTCACATTTACTTGCATTTTCACGTCAAACTAATGTAAATTTCATGTTAGATTATACAAAATTTTATGTTTTCAAACATAACTTCTATGTAGAACTGCTATGTAACCAGATAAAGGAACTGAGTTCTTGCAACAAACTCTGATTTTCTAATCTATCCTGATATAGCAGACCTTTCCTTTTTTAAACTATGCATTCTGTTAGATGAAATAGTTTGAAATATAAAAGGTTAACACCGTCAGGTTGCAAAGAAATATCGGATTTTAAAATTGAATGTGTGGCAAAAACTCAGTTCCTTTTCTTTTCCTCTATCTTGTACGTAACAATTTAAAATAGAAGATCTACGAGGTCACAAAGTTGTATCAGTAACATTCTCCATCCATTTATTCCAATATAATTTTAAACCATGTCTTTCCTGAGTAAGTTTATTTTTTGGTGGCTTCCATTTTGTATATACATCCTTATTCCCTGTTTCCTCACATACCTAAACATCAAACATATTTAAGTTTTTTTTCAGAAGTCAGAGATTTTGAGATTCTCAGGATCAAGCATTGATCTCCATTATATATATGTATATATAAATATATACCTAAACATCAAACATATTTAAGTTTTTTCAGAAGTCAGAGATTTTGAGATTCTCAGGATCAAGCATTGATCTCCATTATATATATGTACATATTGATCTATGGATCAATTTAATTCCTCGCTGATATCCCATGATACGGAGATAACCAGAAAATTCTTAAATAGGAAGACGACTTCATAGCAATACTTAAGTAAATATGATATTGTTACAAAGAAAATATTTCTACTATAGACACTTATAAGATTATACTACAAAACGTACATGCCGATAAAAAAGTAAAAAAAGAGAAAAGTCGAAAAAAGTATGTTTCATAGGTCAAAATGATATCGAAAGTCATAGCTTGATGGGATAGGACCGAATTATTGAATCCACGTGAGGTAGGTAGGTAACATACTAGGTAGATATATAGGTGGTTATGGTATGTATAATGTAATTAGGTAGGTTGATGATTGATAAATTTACCGAACCTCTTGTCCATATTCTGTCCAAATATCTGACTCCCCACCTACACTATCACTGTCACTATATCCAAACTGAAATTAAAGGAATTGAAACAGAAAGTGTAGGAACTGGATAACAGCTGACGTTGATAATTATGATAATGATAATTTATACCTTTATAGCATCTTCATCATTAAGAATAGATTGAACAGTTCTTGCCTAAAGACAAGTAAAAATATTGGTATTGAAGCTAAGATGGTATTTACAAGTCAAGGGTATATACCATAGAGAATTAGGAAAAGAAGAGGTAAAGCTTACCTAAGATGTACACAACCGACCTCCCTATTGATTAATCAATAGAGTGGTCGGTTGTATACATCACGATATTTTTACGTAACTAACACTGTACACTTGTTTATAGAGTGACCATATTTCTAAGGGGGATTTTATGGAATTGATAATTTTTTAGATTTTTGCTCTTTATCTAAAGAGAAATTTTTCTAGGGTATATACAGTCGTCATCGTAAACATCAATACAATAAAGACGATTTTCTATGTCAATTTCAATTTGTACCAAGCTTTCAACCAGCAAGGTTATTGGATAGATAGATGTGCTCATTAGTAAATATGTAAATCATGTATTGTGATTAACCCAATCTAGATACCTAGATATATATAACTCCGTCATACCCATATTGTAATTGCTTAAAGGGACTGTAAAGGAAAAATGAAAGGGGTATAGACTGAAAGCTAATCACTTTAGCTCTCGATCGCGACCCATGAAAGTTATATCTGATGTTCCTTTCTCGAGAAATTGATATACAACTTTGTCAAATTTATACGAAAATTAATATATATACAATTTTGTTTAAAAGTAGTGGGTTTTAAAAGATCAAATTCAGCAAATATGCAACCAATTTGAAAACGACGATATCCCAGACAAAGCTAATTGTAAATTAGGTCTACTTTTATATTTGTTACTTCTATTTTTAATAGATTTCATTCATAATATTATTTATACGTCCGTATTCCTTGTCCAGAAATTCCACCAATGGCAGTGCAGTAAAGTGGTCACGTGATACAGGCGGAGACAAGTGACCAGTATACTGCTCTGCCATTGGTGATAGTTCTGGTCACGTGATTTGAGTTTAAGATTTTATCAATTTTTCATATATGAATTTTAGTATAATTTTAACACAGCTTTATATCAATTTCTCGAGACAGGAACATAGATAAAACTTTCATGGGTCGCGATCAAGAGCTAAAGTGATTAGCTTTTAGCCTATACCTCCTTTCATTTTTCCTTTACAGTCCCTTTAACTACATACTATATATAACAGCACAGAACTTGTAATTACGCTGCTAAGACCTATATCTAATCTAACCTAAAGAAATATACTCAGTTGATGACTCTGTATTGATTGCTGCAAGAGAGCAATTGTGTCCTTGTTCTAAGCGAATGAGTTAAAGATCGTGCCCATTGGTTTGGCTTAGATCGATCAATTGCTTGTGTCCATGAAGAGACATTGATAATTGATCGGGCCCATTGGTTTGGTGTTGATCGATTACAAGGACGTGTCCTGACTCCTGGTTGACATTGGTAGATGACAAGATTGTGACCGAGTTTAGAATTGATAGCTGAGCGAAACTGGATAGATACGGGTTCGAGTAATGCATTTACTACATTTACCACAAAAGATGAGACTGTAAAGACGACCTGAAACTCTAAAATATATGATGATCCCTCGGTTAAATTAAGTATTCAGCCAAAGATTTTGTAATTTTTTGGCATAGAAACAAACAAGTTTACAGTTGCAGTGAATCTAGAAAACAAGGAAGTAGGCAGTACAAATTCGAGTACAATCGTCTCTGAAGTCTCATCCTTTGTGGGTAACCCTGTATTTAATTATCTTCTATATCATATTTTATTCTCTCCAAGCTTTAAAATTTGCATTCAAAACTCATAGAACCTTGTATTTTCTGCCAATTTCTTTAAATTATTAGTATAATTCGATCTTTTTATATTTCCTGTTTAGTTCATAAAATCCCAATTAAGAACTCTGCATGATCCAATATGATGTGGGACACCCTGTATATTTACAGGGTGTCCCACAAAACGTGGCAGTTGGTGAATAGTTTGAAATGTCTTCTTCAGTAATTTGTTAAATTGTTTGATACCAAAGATAATAATAAAAAGTAGTTTACGGCAGTCTTATTATATTAAAATTGATTTCAATTTAGAGTTAAATACATTTAAGTTGAAGATTCTTTAAACGAAATAAACTGCACATAGTGTTAAATATCCAAACAAGCATATGGAAGAAGACATTCAAAACTATTCACCAACTGTCTTGTTTCGAATAGTTTTAAAAATTGGAACTCCGAAATATTTATCCTCTATGTTACTTTCCTCCGCTCTTCTTTTATACTTCTCTAGGGTGGAAAGGACCTCCCTTGCTGGGCCAGTATTCTGCAACAGAAACAATAAAAAACTTTTTTTAAAGTTATTTTTGTTCACGTATTACTTTACATTACAATGGTCGATAATAATATCAATACAATGAAGACACCTTTTTATTAATAATACTTTGTTCCCTGACAAGAACTTGCCAAATTAGAAGTTTACAAGTAAACAAAATAGACATCTTTTTGTTTTTATGTTTAAAAGCTTGGTGGAAACCAAAATTAAAAGAAAAAGTCGGCTTCATTGTATATATATATATATATATATGACCACGCCAAAATGTAACTAAGGATATAAAATAAAAATACCCGGAATGTTTTTAAACATTCCAAACTACAAAATTGTTGATGATATTTTTAAATAAAAAAAAATTAAAACATTTAAAAAAGAATCGCGGAACAAATGTCTTCGTAAACATTAGATATTGTAAATTCAAAATAGATGAAAATGAGAAAGAGATTTTATAACTGAAAAATTAACCTTATCACTGTGTTTGGAGGAGGTTGGAGATTTCGACGTTGAAGATTTAGGAGAAGATTGATCCTGATATAACCAAATTATTTGCTTAGTTAAACAATTCTCTCATCTCACTTTATTCATTAAATAAGTAATAGGCAGTATGAAAACGAAGAAATGGTGTTCTGTAACTGATTGCATTGTACACTGTACATATATTGTACTACACTGTACACTGTACACATATTGTACTGCACTGTACACTGTACACATATTGTACTGCACTGTACACTGTACACATATTGTACTGCACTGAACACATACTGTACTGCACTGCTCACTGTACACATACTTTACAACATAATATTTTTCGAGGAAATCGTCTCTACAAAAAACAAGGAAAGAAATATAATCGGAGTTAGAAATGAGTTTAATCAGTTTATTAATAAACGTAAATAAATCTATGTTTTAATTTTTCTAACAAAATTCAAGAAAACGTATTTTTTTTATAGAATTAGGAAAAAACGTTGAAGCACACTCCACCTCATCATTCTTCAGCTGTTCTCCATCACTACTGTCCTCATCATTACTATTACAGCCATCGACGGAATTCTCCTAATAGATAAATAAAATTTAAAAAATTGGTTTAATGGAGTGTTCGAGATAAAATGAAAATGTGTTTACATGACAAAACAAAGGCTACTTGTGATGTACCGTCCTAAACAGACTTACCCGGCCCCGAAGAATGGAGTTTTTATCACAAATTCTGGTTTTTTAATCCCTATATTGCTGTAACCTTATATAAATTATGTTATATCAAATAATCTAAGTTTGAAATATAAATGGTATACACCATCAGGCTACAAAGATATAGAAATTAAAAAACTCAATTCCTTTCTCTGACTTTCTTTGGAAAAGTCGTATTAGCTAACTTATAAACTGATAACTTTTATTCAAATTCTCTCTTTAAAACCATTAACAACCCTTCAAGCACCCCTCACCCTTAGTAAAAATAAATTCAACCTAAATTCTGACCTCGTCAATCTTGTTGCACCGGCTAGTTCTATAAAGTGTCAGCTTTATTTACCCAATGTCCGGGCGATACAGTACAAACTGGGACCGTAAAGGTTGACCCGGCTCGGAAATTCAAATGTACTACGGCTGCCCGTGCCTTGTCAAATCCTTGATGGAAATTAATGAGAAGTTGAACTAGGCATTGCTAGTTCAACTATGATCACTGTTTTAAAAATTTTTGATTTTCAAAATAAATCAGTAACCTTTTCTTTCAAAACACTTGCATTAATAATTAGAAAACTTTTCGTAAGTAAATAAACATATAAACATGTATTGTTTTCATAAATTTTCGTTACAAAAAAATGTAAACTACTGTTTTCATAAGATTGTCGTGAAATAATAATGATGGAAAAAGTTTAGAAGTATTTTTATCCTTTCAATAGATGCCCTTGAACGCAAATATTATAATAAACATGATTTTTATAAGAGGAAAAATTAATATAAAAATTATTCAAAACACTTTGTGTTTTACAAATATCTTTTTTATTAATGTTATAGTATCTTACTATGGATCAATATCAAAATGATATGTCTGAAAATGTAATTGATAATTAAAGCATGAAGCTAATAAAGTAGTTTAGAATTGGTCACTAAATTAACCCTTTTTTTGAATAACTTAAACACCCCCCCCCCCTATAGAAAATAGTACCTGAATATGTACCTCCATTTCTGGTTTACACCAGAAGTTCACTGTTTTTGATTTCTCACTTTTATAATTTAAAACATTTACTCATTTTCTTATTAAATCTTTAATTCACTATATATAAACATAGTTCTCTCATGGGTCATGTTATGTTATGAAGAATAAAAATCTGTAAAATTTCTTAATTGATCAATTTGCCTAATAAAATTGTTAGCATGGTTTTTAATTTTTGTCTCTAGGCTAAGCTGGGTTTCTAAGCTAATTGTTAAATTTTATCCCTATGTCTTGTGTCCCTGCAAAGTAAGGAAAAGTACTGGCATAAAATCAATGTAGCTTCAAAACTTTATAAAACTTTTTGTTTTGTTTCCCCTTCCCCCCCCCTTCCTACTTCCCCCTCCCACCTTCCCCCCTCCCCCTTTCTAGTTATTGGAAAATAATAAAACCAGCCAATAAGCTGCAGCACAAAAAAAACTGTTTAAGACTCAATACGACTAGAGGAACAGAAAACTTTTAAAGGGATTGTAAACAAAATTTGAAGTAACGCTTTATTCGAAAAATTGATTTCAAGAATAATCTGTACATTTACAGGAACACACTGTACATTTACAGGAACACACAGCACATTTAAAGGGACAGACTGTTCATTTACAGGAACATACTGTGCATTTACAGGAACACAGTGTACATTTACAGGAACACACTGTTTATTTACTCGAACATACTGTGCATTTACAGGAACATACTGTGCATTTACAGGAACACAGTGTACATTTACAGGAACACACTGTACATTTACAGGAACACACTGTACATTTACAGGAACACACTGTACATTTACAGGAACACAGTGTATATTTACAGGGACACACTGTACATTTACAGGGACACATTGTACATTTACAGGAATACACTGTACATTTACAGGAACACACTGTACATTTACAGGGACACACTGTACATTTACAGGGACACACTGTACATTTACAGGAACACATTGTACATTTACAGAAATAAACTGTACATTTACAGGAACACACTGTATATTTACAGGAATAAACTGTACATTTACAGGGACACTACAGGGACACACTGTACATTTACAGGAACACTGTACATATAAAGGGACACACTGTACATTTACAGGAACAAACTGTACATTTACAGGAACACACTATACATTTACAGGGACACACTGTACATTTAAAGAAACACATTTTACATTTTCAGGAACGCACTGTAAATTTACAGGAACAAACTGTACATTTTCATTACATTTCGGACCTATTTTTGTTTATTCATTTTTATTTATATAATAAAACAAGACATTCGTATTTATATATGTTGCGTATAGCCAGCCAAACGGCTGGACCGATTGGGCTGAAATTTTTTGTGGACAGTCATGGGTGGTCGGGGGGGTGTTATAGGCTAAAAACCTTGAAAAGTTTTTTTCTCAAATTCTTTTTATTTTTATTTTTGTTTTAATTGTTTTTTCCACGAGCAACGCCTTCAGTTAGTTTTTAAAAATAAATTTAAGAATTTGTTTAATTTGGCTAAAACAGCCCTAGGCTATTGGTTAATTGGGCTAAAACAGCCCTAGGCTATTGGTTAATATGGCTAAAACAGCCCTAGGCTATTGGTTCCGCCTTCTGTATAAACTATTATCTTATAAATTGTGATTTGTAACTATAATTGAATTCATAAATATTGTTTTTCTGAAGAAATAGATGATTTGATTTGATTTTTTCTTATTCCTGAGGTTTTCTGTAAATAGAGAATTTCTAGTTTAATCCAGGTTCTTCAAGGATTATTTGTTCATAAATAGATACTAAACATTATACACATATTATATATTTTATACACTTTAAGAATATATTATAAACAGGGCTACTTTAACATCTCTTTTATATCATTTATTCATAAAACATTGTGTACAATTATTCACCAAAAATAGTGAAGAAATGTGAAGAAAACAACAATTACATGAACATTAAACAACTTATTAATGCATGCAACAGAAAAAGTTATTTATTATTTTATATTTATAATCATTGGGAAATATTTCACAGTAGAAAATAATAATAATAAAACATAATAATAACTAGCTGAAGGGCCCGGCGTGTCCACAAAAAAATATCAGCCCAATCGGTCCAGCCGTTTGGCTGGCTATAGGCAGCATAGATATATACGAATGTCTTGTTTCATTACTCCATATTACAAGCAGTGTTCATATCAATAGGAATTCAGATCTGGAAAAACTTTTTATGGATGTTTTACTTTTTATTTATCAATTAATATCAAACTAAAAATTATTTAAGATTAATTTCAATCCATGACGTTTAAAAATAAATAATAATATCCTGACCCATCCCGCGCGCCCTTGTGTTTACCATAGTTTTCCTGTTATTCCCTCCTCCCCCCTTCTTTCAATTTTCCCCCTGTTCTTTCCCTCTTTATGACCACCTAGATATTTATTAATATTCACAAAAAGAATTATTAATTATGCTTTAATATTTATTGTTTTATTATAATAACCATTTTTTACTTCTTTACATTAAAAATATTCATTTTCAACGGAGTTTATTTTTTAGCTGACAAAACATTAGCTATAAAAATTTTAAATAAAAAAAGTTTTAAGTAATTTTTTTTTTCAAATTCCACGGCCAACGCTGAGCATTTCAGCTATTCAACATTGAAGTACAAAACTAAAAATAAGGTTAAAATATACGATAATTCTGTTTCTATTTTTTAATCTAACCTAAGTTGTAGTCAGAACTTTTGAATGCATGGAAAGTACTTACCAAGCAAATTTAACAGTTCGGTTCTTATTACAGCTCTGACTTTCGATCACAATCTGACCTATTAAAGGGACTGTAAAGGAAAATTGAAAGGGGGTATAGGCTGAAACCTGAGAATCTCAGGAGTTGAACGATACATATAAGACATATATCTGATGTTACTGTCCTTTAGAAAATGATATAAAACTGGGTCAAATTTATATGAAAATTTACATATATATCCAGTTTTGTATAAAAGTTGTAGTACAGAGCGTCCCATATTATATTAGATTATCTCCAAGCTTTAACGCACATATAATACTCGAAAAAACCCAGTATTTTCTGCAAGAAAACTTTTATGAAAACCTTTTACGTTTTCTAAAAATGATTCATTGTTTTGAAATTTTCTGATTATAGTACCTAAAATCACTATTTTGAGCTATACGCGATCAATATGATGTGAGACACTAGCTGTACTAAACAGATCACAGTTTTATATCAATTTCTTGAGACAAATAGATGTCTTAAATACATCGTTTAACGCCTGAGATTCTCAGGTTTCATCCTATACCCCCTTTCATTTTTCCTTTACAGTCCCTTTAATAATTAATTTTTTGTACTTCTCTTTTGTACTTTTTTGTTGGCATATGCTTTTTTAATGAAGAAGTTTAAAAAGACATCTCTGCAGGTTTCAAGATTGTTGAATTAAAAACAAAACGATAATAAAAATTAAATAGAAGAAACCGAATGCACCGGGTTAGTCCGATGTCTGTTTTCTTCATTCATATTCACAGATACAACTTTTAATTATAGCAACAAAGTATTCAATCCGCGGAAAAGACTGGATTTTTTTTGCTTCTGATTGTTTGGCCTTTAAGAGATATCTAAGAGGCATTAAAGTCGACGTTCAAAATAATGGTTATGTGTGGGTACGTTTTCAGAATCGTTTTTTATTTAATTATTAAATAACGACGACGAAAAATATAGTAAAAATTCTTTAGTAAACTAATTGGATGTTTAGAAACATATTTCTCAAAAGACAGGAATTGAGTTTTTGTCACAAACTCTGATTTTTTTATCCTAATATCTTTGCATTTCAATGTCAAAGGTCTTAGATATTTCAAAATGTGAATTATTTTAGATCAAATAATTATAGTTTGAAATATCAAAGGCTTACACCATCAGGTTGCAAAGATATAGCGATTATAAAATCAGAATTTGTGGCAAAAACTCAGTGCCTTTGTTATTAAATCAATGATAGAATCAATTATTTCCTTTTTCATCATTACATTGAATTTCTTGTTTTCTATAAATTTGTTCGCAGATTTCTACAAATTCTTTAAATGTCGTCTTTTCAATAAATATTCCAGAAAATCGGCAGAAAATCTTTGGGAATAATCTTTAGAAACTAATTATAGAAACTAATAATTGAATAAGATTACTTATTTTCGATAATAAGAGTTATTTTTTTTTTCAACCAGTTCCTAACAACTAATTAGTTTGCTGTAGAACTTTGTTTACATTTTTTTCGTCGTTATTTAATAATTAAAAAAAAAACAATTCTGAAAACGTAGTTGCCCAAAAGTACGATTTTGAACGTCGACTTTGTGCTCAAACTCAGGATTTACAGATCTTTAAAAAGTTTACTATGTCTCAAATGAATTCTAAATAATTTGTCCACAACACTGCATACTCAGTTTAACTAACTTATATAGACGGTCTGTTCCATTACAACTTTATCCGCCGGACTACAAAATATGGATTTCACAGATTTAAAAATACAAAATTTCTCCTAATTAATTTGTCTCGATTACAGAACACAACCTACAGGTCTACCCACACAGGATGAGACTGTAAAGACGATCCAAAACTCTAGAAATATGACGATATGAAGTTTGATTTTTATTTTCTGCATTCAATTGAGTATTTTGATGATTTACTAAATGATTAAGCACAGAAATATGCCGCTTTGGCCTACCAGGAACCCTGAATGCAAGAAAACGGATTAAACAAATTCCGAACAATGGTCTTTGAAGTCTCATCCTTTGTGGGCAACCCTGTATATTAATATATTATTACAACGCAAAGATATTCCAAGAAAACAGTTTTTCATAAGAAAT